ACCTTGAATCCCAGCACTTGGGAGGCAGAAAAATCCTGTCTTAAAGAACTAAAAAAGAAAAAAACAAACCCCCCAAAACTAAAATTGAATAAATTCCCTAAGTCCTACCAGCTCAAAATGGGTGTAGCTGGGGCCCTAAGCCAGGCCTAGCGCCATAGCCCAAAGCAATAACCACTGATGCACACAGCCCACACAGTCTTTTTGTACCAAACAGAAGCTTGTGAAGGATCGACTTTCATCTACCTCTCCTCAAATAAGGCTGGCATGAGTGTACCCTATGCTTCGGAAGTCTGGCGGAGGAGCTTCAGGAGCTCAGTGAAGAGCCAAGGTTCCTTACTTCTTTTAGAAATACACTCTGAAACCTTACAGTCAGCTTAGGACCTGGCTCCAGGGCTAACTCATATCATAGAAGTGGGCCAGATTAGCCCCAAAGAGCAAAAAGTACTAGTACCATGTTCAGGGCTCTGAGCTGCTGTTAGACTTTTGGTAAATTCCTTAGGCTGACTCTACGGGTCAGGGGAGGGGTGGAAAAATGTCAGAAACTCAGAACTTTCTGGAGCTGATAAGGCCAGTTCATACATTGCATTCTACAACTGCATGTTTAGCTGTCCACATACCAGGCAGAACCCTCACAAATAAATAAATAATGAATGGTGGGATTTTTGCTTTGAGAGGCATGAATTTGAAACACGAAGAGAAACACTTACCTGAAATTGCAAGTGACTGTTTTTGTGGTTCTGGGAACTGACCCAGGGTCTTGGCCATGGTAGGCCAGGGCTTTACTGAGCTGCATCCCAATTCACCAGCCTAAAATTTCAAATGAAGATGTAGATATCCATGTAGAGAGCCACAGCTGGGTAGGAAGAATTGACATTTAATGTTCTCTATCACAGCATGAAATTGTGGCTAACTGTATTTTTTTTTTCAAATAGCTAAGGGGAAAGAGTGACGGCTAATACTTGTAATTCTAGAACTCCAAAAGCTGAAGCAGGAACATTTCCATTAGTTTGTAGCTAGTTTGTTCTAAAAGATGCTGTCTCGGAAAAAAATCAGAGCTGGGCATGGTTTTATTTGCTTGCAATCCCAGTGCTTGGGAGGTGAGCATAAGAGAGCTGATGGTTCAAGGTCAGCCTTAGCTACATATGGAGTTCAAGGATGGCCAGGTGGACTTGAGACCCTGTCTCTGTCCCCCCTTCATCCCCCCAAAAAAGGTGTCAGGGTAGTATTAGTTTGGGAAAGATACTCAGTCACAAACATTTTCAGGGCTGCTGTGGACTATTGGATGTGGTTTGAGTATGTCCCCACAGATCCCTGAGTTAGAATTTTGATTCTAAATGTAGCAGTGTTAAGAGGTGGTAAGGAAGCACTTTGGGAGGGAGAGGCAGGCAGATCTCTATGAGCTCAAGGCCAGCCTGGTCTGAAGAGATAGTTCCAGGACAGCTAGGGCTACACAGAGAAACCCTGTCTTGAAAAACAAAACAAAACAAAAATAGGTGGTACGAAAACTGATCTGTTGGCATCTACATGTAATACCACTGATAGGGAATGTACTTTTGTGTGTTTATTTTATTGATTGTTGAATAAAGTACTGTTTGGCCAATGAGGCTGCAAGTTAGGCACGACTAGGAGTCAAGTAGGATTCTGGGAAATGTAGTAAAAAGAAGTCTTGTGATACAGGCAGGAAGTGACATAGCAGGCAGACTCATATATAAGCAAGGACAAGAAGGAAGTCATCCCTTTTTCTCTTCCTCCTGCTCTCTGCTCTGGAGCTGCCATTATTGTTATATACCACTACTTGAGAGACAGAGGCAGGAGAATAAGCCTCAAATCTAAGTCCAACCTGCTCTATGTGTGAAGATGGTGGGGACTTTTAAGATATGGTACCTCAGGCTGGAGATGACACAATGGTCAAAAGCACTGGCTGGGGTTTAATCCCCAGCACACACATAGTAGCTCACAACTGTATATAACTCCAGTTCCAGGGGACCTGACATCCATGGCAAAACACCAATGTACATAAAATAAGATAAATAAAAATTTTTAAAAATATATGGTATCTGATAGGAGGTGGGTAGGTCATCCTTAGAAGGACCAGTGTGTTTTCACAGCACCCCCACCACCCAGTCAGTGAGTTCCCACCAGAGATAGTTGTTATAAAACAGGCAAAATTGTGTGGTAACACAAACCTCTAATCCCAGCACTTGGGAGGCAGAGGCAGAGTCAGGCAGATCTCTGTGTGTTCCAGGCCAGCCTGATCTACACAACGAGACTCTTCGGGAAAAAGAAAAAAGAACATTTAAGAATTTTTTTAAATTAGCTTTTAGAAAATTCAAAACATGACAGAGAAAGGAAGAGTTGGTTTTGTTGAATTGGTTTGTTTGGGGATGAAACTCGGGTTCTGCCACAGCCAGGCAATGAGCTCATCCTCAGATCCAAAAGAAAAGGCCGGATGTGGTGATGCACACCTTTAGCCCCATCACAGGCAGGTGTGAGTTTGTGCCCAGCCTGGTCTACACAGTGAGTTCCAGGACAGCTAGAGCTACACATAGAGAGACCCTGTCTCAGAAAAGAAACTCATGGCTCTCAGTTCTGGAGGCTGGGACATTCTGAAGCACAGAGCCAGCATGCAGTGAGGGCCTCATCCTATGGCAGAAACCATCCCAAGTAAAACAGAGTGACCATGGTAGAGAGCTTGACTTTCTGACGAAGCCAAATTCATTCAGGAGAGCAGAGCCCTTGTAGACCCTCACTTCCTAAAGGCTGTGCCCTCCACACTGTTGAGCTGGGGACTATTTCAACACAAGAGTCCCAGGGGACTGGCTCAACACCTAGTCAGTACTGTGTACTTCCTAAGGAGACTTGAGTTCATGAGTTCAGATGGATGCTGGGATTGAGCTATAAGACCGTGGATGACCACCTAGTGCTGTCAGTTTGGAGAGTCACAGGGCCTTTGGGGAGGGGTGACTTAATCTCTCAGGTTTCCATTTCTCACAGTGAAATATTTGGCTATGTGATTTATTTAATAAAAAGTTACCTTTTAAAATAATAAAATTTACATGGCTATTATTTACTTCAGGCTGTGCCAGTTAAATCAAGTCTCTGTAAAAACAAGTGCTCTTAACCATTGAGCCATCTCTCCAGCCCCCCTCTCTGTTTTTAAAATGATTTATTTGCATTGGCGCATCTGTGTAAGGGTTTTGGATCCCCTGGAACTGGAATTACAGGCAGTTGTGAGCTGCCATGTGGGTGCTGGGAATTGAACCCAGGTGCTCTGGAAGAGCAGCCAGTGCTCTTAATCACTGTGCCATCTCTCCAGTCCCTCTTAAGCCTTCTTGTCACACTGACCTTGATTTACTGACTACTGATATTTTAAGTTATATTATCCTTCTGTTCAAAAGTCACAAAGGCCCTTGAGAATAAAACCCGACTCCTTTGCCTGGTTCCTGAAGTGCTGGCCCTCACACCACCACCCTAGCAGCACCCTGCCACCCCACCACCATGCCTTTCCCTTCTGGCGTGCTCTTCATGTCCCCTCTAATGCTCTTGGTTCAAGTCCCAGCTGTAACTGCTCTGTGGCCAAGGCCCAACTGTCCCAGGTGCTCCCATTTAGCCCTTTTCTGGCGATCATGCAGGACATGGGTGCCTTGTTTAAACATGTAATTGTCCATGAGGAGAACCTGTACATCATAAGCTGTATTACCTCAGTTATTTCTCACAGCAGTCCTGGGAGAAGACGCCCTATTTCTTATTCCTATTTCACCCACCGGAAGAACAAGCTCAGATGGGTTAAGGACCCTGTGTAAAAGCAAATGAGTGCCCACAAATGCCTTGATATGTTAGTGCATGGGTTTTTATTGGTTTTAGTGTTTTGAGACAGGGTCTCATGTAGCCCAGGCTGGCCTCAAACTTTCTATGTAACTTGGGGAATATTGCATGATACCACTATACCAGCGGTGCTGTTTCTATGTAACTTGGGATGGACTTGAACTCCTGATTCTCTTGCCTCTACCTCCCAAGTGCTTGCATTATAGTCATGAGCCCCTACCCTGGTGGCAGTATCTGGATTTTTGCTTTGGTTTTCTTTTCTAGGACAAGATCTTAGTGAGTAGTACAGGCTGACCTCAAACACTGCCCCCACCTCAGTGGTCTCCCAATTGCTAAATTACTGGTCTATGCCATCACAGCTGACTGTGTTAGTCCGGTCTTTATAAGTGCCAGGTGCAATTAAGGCCCATTGCAAGCACTTTCAGGATCATCCCTTGAGGGCCAGAAGGCTCAGAGGAATGAGATGACTTCGAGGCGACACAAGGCATAGTTGGCTTTGGCATTCACTTCCTTCTATCTCCACTTCCCATTCTTTTCCTCCAGGCTGCTGGGTTCCATTTTTAGGGGTAGAGATAGCTGTGGTCAATGAGATTACTTTCTTTCTTAGTGTTATCCAGCCAATCAGCAAAAAATGTGGGGTCTGAGGAAACCCCTAACATGTCCTGCCACTGTGGACAGATTCCTCTGAGCCAGTCCTATGCAGCATACCTGAAAGCACTGGGTAAAAGTTACTGGGAATAGCTCATCACAGGTTAATGATAAAGGGTGGCCATTCTCAAGTGGGCCAATGAGGCGCATGAGGGACAGCCAGGCACCCAGCAGCCCGTGGAACTGCCATCCACAGTGGCAGTGGGTTCCTGTGCACTCACCCCGCAGTAGCGGGGGCGGAGTGCGGGTGGGGGCACAGTGAGAAGCTTAGCAACTCCATCCAGATGCGAATTGTCCCTCCCACACTTCCCGGCAGCAGGGGCCTCAATTAGAGCCTTCGAGGGGTCAGAATCCACACCTCCGCAAATGGGCCCGCTTTCCCAGGGCCCCCCTGCCCAGACCTTCCCTGGGCTCTGTAGGCTTTGACACCTCTCTGCAACCTGGCAGGGGGCCACCTCACACCTTTGGTCCAGATAAAAGCTAGGGCCTGGAGGGGACCCCTGGAGCTTCCCAGAGTCACACCAGCCATGGCCCAGTCACCTCCTCCTCCTCCTCAGAGCCTCCCTGGCCTCGACCCCTGGGTCTTCTCCCAGGGATGGGGCTGGGCCCAGCACTCGGACTCCACGTCCCCGGCCTCATCCTCGGATTCCTCCGGATCGTGTCCCTGCTACATCACCCGCTGCCCCTCGCAGTCTGAGGGCCTGGCCCGCAG